CCCCCAGAAATTTGTCTGGCTCCCTCACTGGGCATTTTTGAGAGCCAACTTAAGACCTGGCTCTTCAGACAGGCCTTCCCTCCTGTCGATACCTAACTTATTTCGCCATCCTCTAGTGTAGTAATATTGTCGTTTTGTTTTATTTTAATACTGTTGTTAGCCGCCCAGAATAGACTTACATCTAAATGGGCGGGATATAAATTAAATAAATAAATAATAATATGTACTCCATTAGAACAGTGTTAATGATTGTTTTGAGCCTTAGTTTTTGGCCATGATTCAGAAGAGAGCAGATATATTTTGTCTTTGGATAAGTATAAAATATGGTGTAAGGAGATAGCAATTCATATTGGGGGGCTTTGTGAACAAGGTAGTCTTCACCTGTCAGAAGAAGGTAGCTGATGAGGTTGGAGAAAACTGTGCTGCACAGTAAGATCTTCATTCGACGGCAAGACACTGAATATATTTTTAATAAGAATTTGTAATACTCTACAGGGCTTTCTAAGATCACCAGGCCAACAGAGATGTGGGGCTGCAGTTGCTTCATCCCTCTGCTTTTCTTGACGTTGGTGCTGGCTTGTGTACATGGAGATTTATCAGTGTCTGCCTCCCATCACAATTCCTATAAACGCATGAAGAGAGAGTGGGTATGGAATACCATGCACATTTCTGAAGAGCTTAATGGGACTCTGCCTCATCATGTTGGGAAGGTAAGGACAGAACTGGGAAGGCTCAGAGCTTGGAAATATTTCTTTCAAAAAAATAATTTTGTCTTGTTACTCAAAAAGCCTGTCAGGGCAAGCAATTTAAGGAAGAGGGAGTTATATCAATTTAAAATCAATTCATTAGATTTACTCATTATAAGGTTGGAAAACAGAGCATGTTACATCACTGAGTAGTTCATGTTACTTTTTTTTTTTGAGCTTACGATTGATGGCCAAATGGCACACAACTTGAAAAACTGCTGTCAAAATGTTTCTAAAATACCTTTTAATGCCCTTTTAAACTTTAAATTAGAAGTACAGTGGTGCCTCGCTTAATGGCGATAATCCGTTAAATGAGGCACCGCTGTTAAAATCGCTATTAAGCTAAAACATCGTAAAGCGAAAATGAAAAGCCCATTGAAACGCATTGAAAACCTTTCAATGCATTCCAATGGGCTTAAAACTCACCGTCCAGCAAAGATCCTCCATACGGTGGCCATTTTCGGTGCCTGTATAGCGAGGAATCCGTTCCTAAACACAGCGGGGAGCCATAATGAGGCACCACTGTTAAAATCGCTGTTAAGCTAAAACATCGTAAAGCGAAAATGAAAAGCCCATTGAAACGCATTGAAAACCTTTCAATGCATTCCAATGGGCTTAAAACTCACCGTCCAGCAAAGATCCTCCATACGGTGGCCATTTTCGGTGCCTGTATAGCGAGGAATCCGTTCCTAAACACAGCGGGGAGCCATTTTAATTACCCAGTGGCCATTTTGAAACTGCCGATCAGCTGTTAAAAAAACATTGTTTTGTGAAGAATCGGTTCCCAAAGCAGGGAACCAATCATCACAAAGTGAAAAAAAACCCTATTTAGACCATCGTTTTGCAATCACAAAAGTGATCGCAAAAACATTGTCATGAAGCAGATTCGTTGTAATGCGGGGTAATCATAAAGTGGGGCATGACTGTAACTAGAAATTGGGATTCATTGCACTAGTAATGTAACTTTGTTCCAAGTCACCAAATTACTTTTAAAATTAAGTTCCTTTACACTTTCTTTATGCACATCCCCCCATGGGAAAAAAAACCCTCACTAACAGTAGAAGGCTACCATCCAGAATACACCAGATCTTCTTCAATTTTGGAAGCCATGCAGGGTTAGGCCTAATTATTACTTGGATGGGATTCCACCCAGAATCTTCATGTAGGGCTAGGGAAGAATCCTGCCTTGAAACCCAGTGAATCATTCCTGAGAGTAGAGAACTAGATGGAACCAGGCTTGACTTGATATACGACATTTTCCTATATTCTTAGGTAGTTATGGTAATTGTAGCTTGTTTCTTCCACGTTATTGTTATAGCTTATTATGCATCTTTGGCCCAGAAGGCCAGAGCAAAACACACCGTAGGATAGCTCTCACGGCCTTCCTTATCTCAGCCTGCCAAGGCAGGGGGATTATTATAGAGATGCAGAAAGCTTGACAGCACCAGTCTTTCCCTTGCAGATGCAAAACATGACCTCGAAATAGCAATCAAGTCTTGTAGTCTATGGGAAGCTTTCCATGCATTGAGGCTTCAAAGGACAAATCACATGATGCCAAGAATACGTCTTAGGCCCAGACTTACCATTTGGCACAGTAAGGCACCAGGTAGCAGATGTTGGAAGGCAGCAGCAGTAGTCCCCTGAACTCTTCACCTCTGATGGACACTATAGCCCTAGGTGCCAAATGGCCTCTACTAGCCAGCTGCCTTCGGGTGCAACGGAAGACGCTGTCTCATTGCCAGTGTGGCAATGAAATTCAACTGACATTCCAATTTGCTTCTGTTTGTGAAATGGGGAAGGTGCCATCTTGTACTTTGCCTCAAGTAGCAAGACATTTTGGCACAGCCCTGTGAGGCATCCTGATATACCCGGGAGAGAAATCATGCTGCCGTTTTCCACATTGTGTGAGATCTGGAGGCCAAGCACACTTGCAGAACACCCCGTTTGGGTCAGCCAAATGTTAAACTCAAAAATCATTGTCAGTGGTTGGGTATTGGTTTAGCTTTTGGCAACCAGAATGGCCCAGGTTCGATTTGTGAGAGTTTTAGTTAAACAGAAGACTTCTGCTGAGATGTTGAGGTGTTGGAGCCAGTTATAGCAGACAATGTGAGGCTAGATAAACAAATGGTGTAAGGCACGTTCTTGGTTAAGTGGGCCTTTTTATTTCTTGAGCAAACACAGAGAAGGCAGAGACTGATGTAGTTTTTGGAATATTGTTTGGACAATGTGCAGGCAAAAGTTTCCAAGTAAATGAAAACATTACAGTTTTGGTACCACATATTTCTGTCTGTACAAACGGCCGTGGCTCTTTTGCAAAGCTTAGATGCATTTGTAGGACTGAGCTTGGAAAATTACTTTCAGAAAGGAATGAATTAAAGATACAGAGAAGTATCTTCCCTATATCCCTTGCATTTTGTTTCCCTTCTCCTCTCTGCTATAAGGCCTCGTTGGACATCCACTCTGCTTTCTTGCATTTCCTTTTCTTTGGGATGGTTTTTTGTTGCTGCCCCCTGGACAAGGTTACGAGCCTCCATCCATAGTTCTTCAGGCACTCTGTCCACCAAATCGAGTTCCTTAAATCTGTTCTTCACTTCCACTGTGTATTCATAGGGGATTTGGTTTGAGAAACACTGCCAACATATTTCCCCCACGCTGGCCGCCTTGCATTGGCTGCCCATTTGTTTCTGGGTTTTCAAAGTTCTTATGATGACATAAATAAAAGCCCTAAATGGTTTAGGATCTCAATATCTAGCAGAGCACTTTCTCCCATCCAGTTCTGCCAGAGTCACTCATTCCAGCCAGGCCGGGCAGCTGAGGGGCCTAGTGCCGAGGGAGGTCCAGAAAGAGAGAACGAGGAACAGGGCCTTCTCGGCAGTGGCCCCTCGCCTTTGGAACAACGTACCAGTGAAGATGAACTTGGCTCCCTCTCTGGGTGTTTTCAGGAATAAGCTTAAAATCTGGCTTTTTGGGCAGGCTTTCCCTCCTGCCATATCTTAATTTCTTAAACTTTGCCATCTTGGACCTATAATGTATGTTTTTGGTTTTATTGTTTTTAAATTTGTAAACCACACAGAGTAGACCTTTGGTCTAGATAGACAGGATAGAAATCCAATCAATCAATCAATCAATCAATAAACAAACAAACGAACAAACAAACAAATAAACTTAATATATTCCTACATAAGAAAACCTGATCTTTTAAAAAGTATGCACTCAGAGCCCTGAATGTAGATTGACAAATCTGTCACTCTAGTTTCTCCTGCATTCAGATTTTCCAAAAAAAACCCACACCTCAATTTCTTTCTGTTCCAAGTACAGTGACTTCTATTAATCCTATCCAAAAGAGCCTAGAGTGAAATTCTCACCCGTTCTTAGCTAGTTTCCTCCTTTCACCATATTGTTCCATGTTTGGATTATAATTCTCACTTGCAGGCTTGATTCTTCATTTTAGATCAAATCAACCATACAGAATCCCAATGCAATGTATGTTATCGAAGGGGAAGGTGCCGGGACTTTATTCAGAGTTGATGACCGCACTGGAGATGTGGCTGCAAATGAAAGACTAGACCGGGAGAAGAAAGCCATATATCAGCTGAAAGCTCTAATCATTGATCGTAACAGCAAGAAGCCACTGGAACCACCGTCCATGTTTTACATCACAGTCCACGATGTTAATGACAATGCCCCAGTGTTTGAACAAAAAGTGTTTAACGGGTCTGTTGCAGAAATGTCACCACTTGGTAAGTTATTCTTGGCTTTTGGGGGGGGGGGAAATGTTGGAGTGTGTTTGCGTGCAAGATGAAAAAAATACTTAACAAAAAGCAAGAGGAGAAGAGCATAGATTAATCGAGTATTATAAGAAAACCATCTGCAGCTGTCTGTTGGGTTATAGTCAAGACATGCTGGAACCGACAAAGCTCCAAGCCCCACTCCTGGTGTGGAATTAAGGGCACATTCAGGTGGGGGAATTTGGAGTGGTCTGGTTTGCTTTTAGAAGTGTATTATCTTTAATGTAGTGTATCGTATCTCTCACTTGAGTGATCTTTCTGTTCATTCGGATCAATGTTTTTAATACTGTACAGTGAGAAGGGTCCAGACAGGTCTTTGCCCCCCATCCGATTAAGGATAGTCCCCTTCCTCACCTTCTCCTGCAGCCATCATTCAGCAGGGCATAGCAACTTTCTCTTTTTTTCTTGTTAGCTAAAGGAAGTGACACAGCAAAACAGCAATGTGTTTACGTAGCATGGTCCATATACAGTAATACCTTCACCAGTGTGATCTGTGTGCTACATCAATAGGTAAATATATTTAAAAGTTTAAAATTGTAGAGTAGATGAAAATAGAGGAGGGACGGTTCCCTATTGTCCCTTTCAATGCCACAGCCCACCAAATATGTCACAGACTTGTCACCACAGATGGCATTGCCCACTGCTCTATTTTGGTGCAAACTAACCATCCACATGAGCTGATTAAGAATGCTCCTAATCATGCCAAAAAAAACCCTTGTAGCCCTATCACTGCACTAAAAAGTGGTGGGGGCAGCCCTCAAAAGGGTCAGGATGGAGCAGTCAAAGTCAAAACAATTGTGGATGCTGCACCAAAAGCAATCCAAATAGTGAGCTGTTCTGCCAGTGCAGATGTGCCCTAAATTTGTGCAACAGTATATGGCTCTTGAAAGAGTCAGCCCTATCCTCAGGCAGAGTATGGCTGCTGCTCTCAGGGATGCTAAGGGACTGGAAGCAGGCTGATCTCAATGGGTCAGAGAGCCTGTCTGGTGCCCCTAAGGTAGTCTGCAATGCTCCAAAGAATATTCACTATTGTCAACGCTGAAGCTACTGCCAGCACAGATGGCTCCTCGGGCAGCAAAATGTCTGTGGACAGTCACGGCTGAGGAATTTTTGGCCCTCCAAATATTTTGGCTTACTCCTATCAACCCCATTGAGCATAGCCAATGAGGTGAGGGATAATTAGAACAACAGGCCAAAACATTTGCAGGACCAAAAAGCCTCCTTATCCTTCTTCATCAGGAGACAATTCAGTACAGCCCTGGTGAACACTCTGATGAGAGTTAACTTCAGGAGACAATTCAGTACAGGCCTGGTGAACACTCTGATGAGAGTTAACTCTGCCTCGGCTGACGCATCAACAGTACTGTACAGGCAGGTTTGGTGGTAGCCCCTTAAATCCTCAATCAGTTCCCGAGGGCACCGTGTTAGTGTGAATGCCCCACCAGCACTGCTGCCTTTGGCCTGAGTAGACAAAACATCGATGGCCCTTCGGCTATGCTGAGTCAGGCGAAGTGGTAGGGTCACCCATTAGGAAGTCATAATGGATATTCTGACAGTGCCCCAGAGCAATGCTATACCAGTACACAGTGAGAATTGTCAAGTTCCGTATGCTCGCCATAGATCCGTCAATCCCAGATCCCTATATAGATCACACTGTACCAATAGGAGATCAAAATTTAAAGAAGACAGACTTGTCACTGGAAGGATGCAAACACACCCATTGTGTTTCCAGTATTTCCTACTGGGAGGGTGCAAATCTGCCTGCTCCAAGCATGTATACCACTTGCAGCTGCTCCTCCCTGGGCTGAAGGAAATGCAAAGCAGGTGATGTTTTGAGCCAGGTATTCCTCCTCTCCAACTGTCCTCTCCCCATGTATTCAAATTTCAAGTGGTCCGAGTTTAACAAACAGGGCAGTGAAGTCCCAGGCCCGGCCTACTGTGCAGTTTTGCTTGCTGAATCAGAAAACCCAACACTAGTGGAGTGATGACTTTCTTCTCCTCTCTCTCTCTCCAAAACCTGTCCCTGACTGTTTCTGTGCCTTCTAAAACAGGTTCTTAGCATTCATGGGGATACTTCAGGATGGAGAGGGGATTGCTAGTTCTGGCAGAAGTAATGAAATGTAGTGGAAGTAGGCCATTCAGTCCTGAACATTGTGTCCTATTTTTTTCATCTGGAGAATCCCAATAATAAACATGTGCCTATCACTGGGCACCGTATCATTTCTCTTTAGGAACCTCAGTCACTACAGTAACAGCTGTTGATGCTGATGACCCAACACTTCATGGCTATGCTGATGTTTTCTATGAAGTTATTCAGGGGAAAGATTACTTCAAAATAGATGACACTGGTAGGTATGGTATCCGTAATAAAACCAATAGAACGGTTCAGGTTCTGTCAGAGCCAAACCTTGCTAATTTAGGGAAGCTACCGTATTTTTCCGTGTATAAAATAACACTTTTTCCTAAAATAATTGAAGGGAAAATTGAGGGTCGTTTTATACTTGGAAGAAAGGAGAAAATGTACAGTGGAACCTTGACTTACAGACAGCTCGACTTACAGACTTTTCGAGTTACAGACTTCTCTGGCCGCAAAATTTAGGTTCGACTTGCAGCCAGAGAATCGACCTACAGACCAGAAAAAAACCAAAATGGAACAAAAACGGCCGGTTACAGGATTAATCGGGTTTTAATGCATTGTAGGTCAATGGGGACTCAACCTACAGACTTTTCGACCTGCAGCCACCATTCCAATACGGATTAATTCTTTAAGTAGAGGGTCCACTGTAGGGAGAAAGCAGAAATCGCATTCCCCCCCTGAATTTTCTCTGCAAAACATGGAGGAGGGAAGCTGCTTTTTTGCAACAAAAATGTAAGGTGAAAGCAGAAATCGCTTCCCCCTGCATTTTCTTTGCAAAATGTGGAGGGGGGGAAGCTATTTTTGCAATGAAAATGCAAAGAAAGAAATTTTTATTTAGAAAATTGGGGAGTGTGTTTTATACATGGGGCGTCTTATACATGGAAAAATATGGTAGTCTTCCATTTCCCTTCCCAGCACTGATGACTCATAGTTTGAGAAAGGGAGGCATCTCACCCTATTATTTCAGGATAAGCCCCCACCCTTGTTGGTCCATGGACCACACTGCTTGTGTGTTGTTTCTTTATCTGATACCCACAGTAGTCTGTAGTGTTGTGGAGTTTTGAATGCTGATTAAATTCCTCTCCCTTTGCAGCAGAAGTGCAGGGATTCACAGTGAAAAATAACTTCAGGTTCCCCCAAGTACTCCATCCCTTTTCTCATTAACTGGCACTAATCCCAAACTAGTCCATCCCTTTTCTCATTAACTGGCAATAACATTCCCAATAACTCACTTGGAGATGTTATTAGGAGAAAGAATAAAAGATTTCATTACTTACACCAAACTGAAAAATATGTCTGCCTTCAACAACAGCCTTCAACAAACTCCCTTACACCAAACTGAAAAATATAGCTGCCTTCAACAACAGCCTTCAACAAACTCTAAAGAGGGGAAAGGAACAGATCAGAGAGGCGGGGCTCTCTTTGAACTCAGAGGCAGGGTGGCTGTCAATCTGTCCAGGTTAGTGCTAGATAGAGTGATGATCACCCCAGTCCAGAAAGTTCCCTCCCAGCCACACCTCCCCAGGTAGCATGTGTTGAGAGTTGTGTGGAACTCGTGTGAATTCCCCAAAATTGCACAGCAAGAAGTGCCAGCCGGTTAGGCAGAATTAACTGGAAGTTCCCCTTTTTGGTAATCTCTCCTCACCAAACACTAGCACACAAACAAAATACTCAGGAGGTCTTTTTATCATTAAATTATTTTACTCACATGAGGCTATCATTCTTAAAGGTTTCAGTTAGTTACATAATAAACATCTTAAATGTATGAAACAATAGCTTAATGTGTAAAGATGTGAGAGATAACAAGTAAGTGTCTTGAGGTTTTAATCACCTCAGAGAGAGAAGAGGCAGTTACAGAGGCAGTTACAGACCAGTAACAGTTAAAGCTTCCCTCTGATTGGTTAGTATTCAAAACTATATACTAGCAAGTTAGTCTGTGCACTGGATGGTCTTCCCTTTTGAAATTTACAGTTAGATTGGTTGACCATCCAATACATCCAACAGCATGTAAGGTTGTAAAAATCCCAACATGTAAGTGCCAGAATCTTACTACTCATCATTAGGACCTTTTAGTATATAGATGAATTTAAAGGGAAAGGTGATGTAGAAGCGACAGATGCGCATTATTTATTTATTTTATTTGATTTATATCCCACTCATCTGGTCAAATCGATAATACATACTGTTTGTTTTTAAGGGAAAATCATCACAGCTGTTCCTGATCTGGACAGAGAACAAACCCCCTCCTATACAATTGTGGTCAAAGCAAAGGATGGCAAAGGGCTACACTCAGAAGAATCAGGAACTGCTACAGTCCACATTAAATTGATCGATATCAATGACAACTTCCCAACATTTAGACAAGGTGAGGGGTTTTTTTCAAATTCAAGAGATTAAATTAGAAAATCAGCTCTAAACCAAATCAGAGAATTAGAATTTGATTTAAAGCTATGCAAAATTATTTCCAGTAGAGTTGTTGTTGTTGTTGTTTACATTCCCCTGAAAACATGCTTCACTGGCCAATCCCATTCTCAACTTTAAAAACATTTGCTTCAGTATTTTTTAAAAACCTGTATTCCTTCCCTTCATAAACTGTGTGGTCTCCCAGGAAAAGATCTGATCTATTTATTTGGTGTTCAGCCCTCAATTTCCCTCCAAATCCTTTCTGACTCTTTGAATAACGAAGTTTGAGAATTCTTACCCTTGTATGTTCTTTTGGCTTTTATCCAATCATGGAGCGATTGCATGAAAGATCAAGAAAAGCAGAAGACAAATCAGAAATTCAGCCGCCTTCAACACTCTGCATGTTTGAACTCCAACTTAGAATAATAGAAGTTTAGAGATATGAGGGATTTGAAGGGTCATCTAGACCACTGGTTCTTAACCTTGGGTTACTCAGGAGTTTTGGACTGCAACTCCCAGAAGCCTTCACCACCAGCTGTCCTGACTGGGATTTCTGGGAG